CACATCAGATGGTGCGAACGTAACTGAAAGGATACAAATCGAGGTGTTACCCTCACTTTCCATTTCCCTTTCCACCAGAATCTGCAAAAGAAAATTTATCACAAAGGGCAGCGACCCTTTTCGGCGCCAAGGTACCATAAACCATCGTTCAGGTCAAAAATGAACCAGCGAGAATAACGAAACAACATAAAACAAACAATGTAATACAAAACGAACCTAGATAATAAAATTAAACAATTTTTAACGAAAACTCGAATTCAACATCAAAAACTTTTTAATCGTTAACATAATTCTTCAATCAATTATTTATATTTGTATTTAAATAATTGAATTCTCGTAGAATTTTTTAATAAAAATTGATTTAAATATGAGTTCTAGTTAAAATTCGAGATATTAATTGAATATTCAACTCTCTAAATTTGAATTAGTAAAAATGTTTTCTAATTTTAATTAGTGACTGACTTCTTGCTTTTCAATTAGCAGATTTTACTAATAAATAGTCGTTTCTACTAATTTAATGGTAAAATTTACTAATTGAAAAGTAAAAAGTCAGTCACTAATTTCAATTATTTAGTAAACATTTTTACAAATTCAAATTTATAGAGAAAGTATTATAGCGTAAATTTTTAGAAATAATTCAATTTTGAAAAGGTTTCAAATTGCAATCTTTGAATGTTTGAATTTTTCATACTTTTAATTGCAAATTGTGTAGATTTAATTTTTTTTAAGTTATTTGAAGTTTTTATTTTTTAATATATATTTGATTGAAGAATTTCCGAATAATCGATGAAATTACATAAAACTGAATTGCAAACAAAAGAATTTGAAAATTTTCAAAAAAATTCTTCAGAAATTATTAAAAATAATTAATTTAAAGAAGAATTTTAGTTAAAAATTCTTAAAAATAATAATTGAATTAAAATGATGAAAATAATTTTGAAGAAGTAGCTTATAATATAAAATAATGATTTTATTAGTCGGTCATTTTTAATTATTATAAAACATGAAGATATTGATTGCTCCGAGTCGAAGACTCGGAGTGATCGATCTCTTCATGTTTTATAACAATTTTTTATAAATTGTTTAATATCAGAAAGATTTGAATTTGAAATTTTCGAAAATCTTAATTCTTACGGAAAAATTATAATGACTAATTATTAAATTTTGTAACATATAAATGTAGTTATAAAAACCAGAAAAAATTCCGTTTTTTAACCTGGAAAACTCAGGGAATTCGTAAAGAGCAAAACCGTGGCAACCCTGATTATTACTTGAGAGGTAAATCGCATTCTGTTGTGGACCATTCAGTGAAAAATTTCTTTTTCTTTCCTTTTGGTGTAAAATCAAACGCAAACAAGTGCGTATATTATGCGTGTTAAGCGTTTGAGTGCGTTCTTGTTTTCGGTGTAACTCGAAGCTAAGCGGTTTAAGAGATCAACGCTGGCATAACCGGCCGTCTGAGAATTGTCTGGAAATGTTGCGTGTGTATGTGTGAAAATGTGTGTGCGAGAGACTGAGAGAGAAGAATCGGTGAAGAAAAGAGAGAACGCGAACTTATTCGTGGGTTTCGAGGAGAGGAAAGAGCGAACACTGTCAGTGCACTCGAGTGGCAAAAGTCGAGAGAGCGAGAGAGCGTTAACGGAGAGAGAGAGAAGAGCAAGATAGAAAGACGGGATGAAAAATTAGATTTACAAATCTGTCCCGACTACTATGAGATTGCTCGCTTACGATGCAGAGGTGCTCAATTTTTTTTTTTTTTTTTGCTTTTTCCGATAAATATTAAATTTACGATAATCAAGTTTTATTTGGTTTTATTTGTAGAGGGAAGAATGAATTTTTTTTCTTGAAATTAATTGAAAAATCACGATATTATGTGATGGAGATTCAAATTTTAGCGCCGGTGATTAGAAATAGCAACGGAAGCGCCATCTACACCAGAGACTGTATTATCTTCGATCGATAACTTTCTGTTACTGCTTCAAAATAATTTTTTACTTTTTTATTTAAACTTCAATTAAATTTGAATTAAATTTAAATTATTTAACAGTTTGGAAAAGATTTTTAGCTGAATAATCCAAAAGATGCAAATTATTGTGTTTATTAAATTAATGGTTATGATTATTAAAATGAATTTTGAATTAAATTAAAATTATTTAATAATTTGGAAAAGATTATAATGGCTAAATAATCCAAAAGACGTAAATTAATTAATACTGAAGTCTTTTTTTTTAACTCATCCCTTATCTTTAATCTTTAATTCCTTATCTTTACATTCTCTTATTCCATATTGAAAGGTATCTATTGCTCTATTACTTTTTTCTCTATTTTGATGAATTTTAATCTTGTAAAGTATTTTTCTGTTCGTTGTAAATTTTCACATCGTCGGAAATAAAAAAAAAAATGGGAATTGTAGTTTCAATGATAAAAGAAGCAAAATGGCATGAGTGTGTACGCATAACCGTGCTTTCCACGGAAGCAACCGCGTAATTAAGACAATTAAGTTACTCGCTATAAATCACACACAGTGCTCATCTACTTAGAGCTTGATATCAGATCGAGGATCTACACGCGTTCCAAGAGAACGGCCGCGCGCTCGATGCCAAACTGATTTATGTATACATATATATATAAGATCGAGGATCTTTTGCCCCGAAAGATTTTTTTTAAAATTCTTCTCTATAAAACTAAAAAAAAACAAAACAAAAAAATTAAAACGATTTTCAGACTAAAAGATTCATGAGAAAACATAATTTTTAATTAGTCAATCAATCAAAAAAGCGCCTACACTGTCAATTATACTGTAATTATATTTGCATCATGCGGAACATTATAATCGGACACCAATCTGTGTTCGTATAAATATACCTCAAATGCAGAAAATTAATACAAACTTTATTTTATTAATAGTCACGATTAATCATCTTTAGTTTTTTTTTAATTCTTTTCTCGTGCATTTTGATGATAGGGAATTGTAATTAATTTCTATCATTAGCAAAAATACGAAATTGCATTAGTTTGCTGTAAATTTTGTATTTTATCTATTTTTTTAAGTGATGAACATTATAATTATTGATGGATTAAACGAAATAAATTTTACGAATAAAACGAATGAAATTACGAAATAAACTTTATAAATAAAACGAATAAAATTACGAAATTAATTTTCGAATGAAACGAATAAATTTACGAATAAAACAAATAGAATTGCGAAATAAACTTAAAAAAATAAAAACAAATAAAATTACGAAATTAATTTTTGAATAAAACGAATAAAATTTATAAAATTTACATTTTCCTAATTTTTCCATTAAAAAATTCACTTTTTTTCTTATTCTGGTAATAACTTCATTACAAATCTTTATGAAATTTGATTATTATCCGAAATTCTAGCTAGAATTCTTCATAAATTCTATTATATTTAAAATAAATTTTCTAAAAGAAAAAAAAATATTTTTTTTTAAAATATAAAATTTATTTCAATTAATCTTGAAAAAATAAAGAATTTTATCAAAATTTTTAATAATAATTAATTTATTTTGAAGAATTTTAACAAAACTTTTAAAAATAATTGCATTTTTCGAGGAATTTATTTAACTATTAATTAATGAAATAAAAATTTAAATCTTTATACCTAATTTACGAAAATAATTCAATTCTTCCAAACGAAATTAATTAAATTTTTTTAAATAATTGAATTGCTGTAAAAAATTCAATTATTTGAAAAAATAATTGAATTCTTGCGAAAGATTTTATTAAAACTTTTGTACATAATTACATTTTTCGAGAAATTCATTTAATTATTAAAAATAATTGTATTCAATAATTCAGTATTAAAAATAATTGAATTTCTTTAAATCATTTTATGAAAATTTAACGGAATAAATCAATTATTTGTAAAAATTAAATCGAAATTGTATTAAAAATAATTTAATTTTTGCAATGAATTTGATTATTTATTAAAAATAATTTAATTCTTATAAACAATTGTTATCACTAATTTTAGAAAATAATTTCTTTTAAAAAATGTTATTCAAATATTTCAAATAATTGAATTCATTCGCAAAATTTTCTTTGGAAACTGTATTTCAAATAATTGAATTTCTATGCAAAATTTTATTATTCATAATATTAATTGAATTCTATTAATTTTTTTCCAAATAATTCAATTATTTTGAGAAATTTTATTAAAATATTATTAAAAATAGTTTTCAAAATAATTGAATTTTTGCAAAAGATTTTTCAAAAATTTTTGAAAATAATTAAATGGTTTGAAAGAATTTATTAAAATTTTTAAGAATAACACTGTGTTACAAAAAATGAAAAAATAAAATTACTTTGAATCGGACCTAATACAACTTGTTCGTCTTGAAAAACTGAAGAAAATGGTATATAATAAATTGCTGAAACACCCCCAAAATTTCATTTTAGAGCAAAAAAACCAATTTTTTGTAGTTCAAGTATAAAATATCTTATAACTTTGTAATTTTTGGTCCGATTTCAACGATTTTTATATGATTTTAAAGCTGAATAACAGGGCTTTCCAATCATTATCGGTATTTTTTGTTATAGTTAAATATGAATTTAGAAAATTAAGAAAAAGATCGAAAATAGTACTTTTTTAAATAATTTTTCAACTTTAGTACTAATTTTCTGCCCCAAATTTTATTTGAAGTAGTTTCTTTCAATTACACGTTTAAAGAGTATTTAATCCTGCGTCGAATGCAATATTTTTTAAGAGAATTCGTTAAAAATTGACTGAGTTATTCCATTTTTTAGTTTTGCAGTCATATTATTGAATTTATGCTTAAGAGAGTATTTTCTTTTTTTCTTACCTATATTTGTTGCTTTTTCTTTGTTATTGATTTCGTACAACATTTTCTTAAATTTAACAATGCAGTAAATTATGTTCTTAATATAAATATTAAGTATTAATGATAGAACACAAAAAGATAAATTTTAAAATTCAAATATACTCATTAACGATTAATTTTTTTTCAGTTTTGTTGAAACAACTTTTTTCCTAAAATTATATTACACATAGTTTCTTTTAAAACAATTTATTGTTTTATTAACGATTTCCACAAGTTGTCTATTAGATATGTAATATTGAAACAAATGCAAACGACATTTATGACAGATTGTTCTTTCCTTGGTTACTGGTTATTTTGTGTACGTATCGAGTTAGAGTTTGAATTTATTCGATTTCATTTAAATTGTTTTATTGTACGTATAGTTCGTTCATAAAATTTGGTATTCCTTGTTGATGTGCAGAAGATAAAATGTGCGATAAACGTAATAGTTTTTGTTATATATGTGGCTATTTTGTGGACAATCGCCATCGGTACAAATTTGAAAGCAACAAAGTTGCCATTGAAGAATATAATAAATTATTTAATACTTCTTATGACGGTAGTTCTTGGTATGAGCCGGAGTACATATGTTTACTTTGTTTAACAATACTTAAAATAGGAAAATCCAAAAATAACGAAAAGCACACTTCCTTGCCCTTCTCGGTTCCAATGACATGGCATTATCAAGTTTATCATAAATCGGATGATTGTTACTTTTGTCAAACAAATATTGTAGGTCATCAATATAAAACGCGTAAGTTAATAAAATATGCCGATGTTTTGACTATCACAAAACCAGTACTTCTTGAGTCTTCTAAGACTGAAAAAGCGGAAAAAGAGGAATTGCCTGATTATTTTGATCAAAAGATGAATGATCTAAAGATTTCTGAAGATACAGATTATGTTCCACCCTCATCGTGTTCAAAGGAACCACATTTTGTTTCAAATCTGGATTTTATCGATCTTTTACGCGATCTAAAATTATCTGGAAGACAGTCTGAAGTCCTTGGTTCTAGATTAAAACAGTGGAATTTGGTCGAAAGAGATTTTAAAGTAACTTCCTGCAGAAATAATGATAAAAATTTGTTTAAAGAAATTTTTAAAACTGCCAATGACTGTAGCAATCTCGTGTATTGTTCGAACATTCCAGAGTTATTTTCAATTTTAAATCACGATTACATACCAGAGGACTGGCGACTATTTATTGATGGATCATGCAAAAGTAAGAATTTTTTCAACAAAATAAGGTGAAAATAAATTGTTTTTATAATTTAGCTAGAATGTACATACTTCTTTTTCTTTAGGTTTGAAGGCTGTATTGTTGCATAATGAGAATAAACTCCCATCAGTTCCTTTAGCGTATGCAACTGATTTGAAGGAAACATATGGGACATTGGCAAAAATTCTTGAATCCATCAATTATGCTGCCCATGAATGGAAAATTGTCAGTGATTTAAAGGTTTTAACAATTTTGTTAGGGATGCAAGGTGGTTATACGAAATATCCTTGTTATTTCTGTGAATGGGATAGTCGCGCACCAAACAAGTATGATCGAAAAGAATGGCCAGCACGTAAAATGTTTCAGCTTGGAAAGAAAAATGTTTTAAACATTCCTCTAGTGCAACCAGAAAATATTATATTACCACCCTTACATTTGAAACTTGGCTACATGAAGCAATTTGTTAAAGCTTTAAATTCGAATAGCGAAGCATTTCTACATCTTCAGAAAGTGTTTCCTAAATTAAGTGACGCTAAAATTAAAGCAGGTACGGCAGATTAGGTTGTAAAATATTTTTTTAGGCCTCAATTTTGCTGAAATAAATTACATTAATCACGATATTAACTGAATTCGTGGTCTTCGTTGACTTAATACTAAGTAAGCATACATATTAATATTTAAAACTAATTTTCTCATACTTTGTAGGTGTATTTGTTGGACCTCAAATAAGAAAGATTATGCGAGACAAAGAGTTTGCTGATTAATTAAATGATGTAGAAAGAAGAGCCTGGGATAGTTTTATTTCATTGTGCATTAATTTTCTTGGAAACCATAGGAGTGACAACTATGTTGATGTTGTCCAAGAATTTTTGACAGCATATGCTGAAATGGGATGCAATATGTCAATTAAGGTCCATTATTTACACTCCCATTTGGATTTTTTTCCTGACAACCTTGGTCAGTTCAGTGATGAACAAGGGGAGAGATTCCATCAGGAAATTCAGCATATTGAAAAACGCTTTCAAGGGAAAAGTTCTGTAAACATGATTTCAGAATATTGTTGGTCTCTGAAACGAGACACTGATGATTCTTTGTTCAAAAGAAGTACAAAAAATAAGCATTTTTAATTCAGATTGTACTTTGTTTCTTATGATTAAAATATTCAGTTCACAATTAATGAAATTGTTAAAATTTACAAACGATTTCAAGATACTTAATATTTATGTTAAGAACATAATTTACTACATTGTAAAATTTGAAAAAATGTTGTCAGAAATCAATAACAAAGAATAAGCAACAAATATAGGTAAGAAAAAAAGAAAATACTCTCTTAAGCATAAATTCAATAATATGACTGCAAAACTAAAAAATGGAATAACTCAGTCAATTTTTAACGAATTCTTTTATACAATATTGCATTCGACGCAGGATTAAATACTCTTTAAACATGTGATTGAAAAAAACTACTTCAAATAAAATTTGAGGCAAAAAATTAGTACTAAAGTTGAAAAATTATTTAAAAAATTACTATTTTCGATCTTTTTCTTAATTTTTTGAATTCATTTTTAACTATAACAAAAAATACCGATAATGATTGGAAAGCCCTGTTATTCTGCTTTAAAATGATATACAAATCGTTGAAATCGGACCAAAAATTACAAAGTTATAAGATATTTTATACTTGAACTGCAAAAAATTGGTTTTTTTGCTCTAAAATGAAATTTTGGGGGTGTTTCAGCAATTTATTATATACCATTTTCTTCAGTTTTTCAAGACGAACAAGTTGTATTAGGTCCGATACAAAGTAATTTTTCACTGTTGCACAGTGTAATTAGCTTTTTATTTCAACTATTAGTGGATTTAAAGAAGTTAAAATTTTCAAAAAAAGGAAAAAATAGTTTTTTTTTCAAAAAAAAATATTTTTTACAATAAAAAATAAAATTAAAATAGTGGAACTATTTTTAATTTTCTGATTTGAATTTTATTTGATGCGATTCTATAATTAACTTGAAAGAAAAAAATCATTTTAAAAAACATTTTTAAAAAATCATAAATTTAAAGAAAATCAAATTTAATTAAACAAAATTTTAATTTCCAAAAAAAAAATTATTTTTTACAATAAAAAATAAAATTAAAATAGTGGAACTATTTTTTATTTTCTGATTTGAATTTAATTTGATGCGATTCTATAATTAACTTGAAGGAATAATGATCGTAAATTTAAAGTAAATATTTATACCGTATTTTTGAAAGACCTCTTCAACTCATTAGAGAAAACGAATAAAGAAAGAGAGAATTTTGACTCAAGAGGGCGATGACGATCAAGCGCGCAGTTGTGTCACGCGAACCAAAATATTGAATCGCGTGCAAAAAGTGAATAAAAAAAAAGAAGGAATTCATATTTAGGGTATGGTAAAATATTACGTCATCAATTTTTCGGTTACTTGAAGAACTTCTTAGATTTTTTCCCATCAATCACTCATCATATTTAAAAAAAAATCTTATTCTACAAAGGGGGCCATTTAAAAAATACCTAAAACTTTTTTTAAATTTCAACCCCCTTCCCCCTCTTCTGTATCCTGGACCTGATATTATTTAATTATTAATATTTTTGTTAGTAAAATAGTAGCAATTAAATTGTTTTCTTTTTTGAATTTCGCGCCAATGCGGTTAGTTCATTAAATTGCCGTCTAGACTGAAAGTCGCTTAAAAACGAAGCGAATATGGAGTAAAAAAACGTACAATTATTTCAATTTTTCCTGAATTAATATTATTTTTTTTTGAGTGACTCTTTTTCTGGAAAATTTCAACTCCTTCCCCCTCTACTGTATCCGGGGCCAGATATTATCTGTAACAATTATTTTTTTAAATTTATTTTTAATTAATTAATTTTTTACAAATAAATTTTTCCCCTTTTGAATTTCACGCCAATTTAGTTCATTAAATTGCCGCCTAGATGGCATGAAAATTCTCTCACAAACGAAGCAAATAGTTGAAAGGAGTATAATTTTTTTTTTTTTTTTTTTTTTTTGAGCGAAGTTTAATGAAACATTTTCGATCTGAATGGAGAAGAAATACAGAAAATAAAAGAGAGAAGCAATGAAGAAGCAGAAATGTATAAATAATAAATACAACTGACAATGAAAAATCAACTGATAAAATATTGATTATAGAGCGGGTAAATTTGTAAAGAAGAAAGAAAGGAAGGCAAAAGGAGAAAAAAATATTGTAATTATGCAAATTAATAAAATGTAAATAGGGAAAGTGTACTTTTCGTTGCATGTGAAGCGTTTAATCCCGAGTATCGAGTACCGTACACAGCGAATACCAAATACAAATGTTGAACGGCTGGTCGGTTCGTCGAGCGCTGCCCAGAGCGATATATAGATTTGAGCAACGCGCGAAAACGGGGTTGCAACCCTCAGTCCAAGTTGCGCGCACCCCCCAATTCCCTATACATATACCCTCGCTGGGCCATTAATAATATACCCATATTGGACACAATTCACCTTGAAATTAACCAGCAGCCGATTGGTAAGCCTGGGCAAATTGACTTCGAAATTGACAATTTATGATCGCTCTAATACTCGGAGATTTTCGCGCTCAATCTCTCTCTCTCTCACTCTCTCTTTTTATTTTAACAAGGAAAGAATTTTTTTTTTCGAAAACTTTAACAAAAATTACCATTGAAACTTGGGAAAATTTTCTTCAAAGCAAAAAGAAATTACAACAAAAACATCTTTGATGCAAAACATTCCACCAAGTAAAAGTTTTTGTAATTGTCCAAGCAATTACTGAAATGAAAGTTTAACAAGTAAAATTTGTAACTAGAATTTTCGTATTGATTAAATTTATTAATTTCACTAATTACATTTCCAAATTAAATCAATTTTTAACGTTATATTTTGAATAATAACAAATATGAAATTTAATTTCATGATTAACATGAGCAAAAAAAAAACTAATTCTAATTCTACGAGAATTCAATTATACATAAAAGCAAAAAGTCGAAAATAAATAATTGAATGTGTCTTAAAATTGAATTCTCATAAAGGGAAATTTCTTTTTAATTGATTAAAAATCATAATTTTTGAATTGAAAATAATTGAATTACTAATAAGAATTCTATTAAAATTCTTTAAAATAATAAAATTTCTGCAAAGAATTTCATTATTTATGAAGATTATTCAATTCTTTAGAAGAATTTTATTAAAATTTTTTATAATAATTGAATTTTTGTGTTGAATTATTTTAAAATTCTTGAAAATAATTCAATTCCCTAAAAAAAAATTTTGATGAAAATTGAAACTGATTTAAACTTTATAAAGATTTTTATTAAAGTCTTTTGAAAATAATTGAAATGTTTTGAAGAACTTCATATTAAAATTTCTAAAAGTAATTGAATCTTTTTGAGAAATTTTATTAAAATTGTACTGAAAATAATTTAATTTTTTGCGAAGAATTTTACTAAAAATTATGATAATAATTGAATTCTAGAGAAAAATTTCAATATTCATTAAAATAATTGAATTCTTAACAATAATTTTGATAAAGTGAAAATAATTGAATTTCTGTGAAGAATTTTATTATTTATGAAGATTATTTAATTATTTAGAAGATTTTTATTAAAAAATTTTTTTAATAATTGAATTTTTGTGTTGAATTATAATATGAAAATAATATTAAATAAATATTAAAATTCTTGAAAATAATTTAATTCTGTAAAGGAATTTTGATGAAAATTTAAACTAATATAATTCTTTATAAAGATTTTTATTAAAGTCTTTTGAAAACAATTAAAGGAAATAAATTTATTAAAGGTGGAAAAAGTTAATAATTTAAAAATAATTGAAACGTTTTGAAGTATTTAATTAAAATTTTCAAAAATAATTGAATTTTTTCAAAAAAATTGATTAAAATTGTATATTGAAAATAATTTAATTTTTGAGAAGAATTTTACTAAAAATCATGATAATAATTTAACTTCTACGAAAAATTTTATTATTTATAAAGATAATAATTTAATTCTGTCCGAGAATACAAAAATGTTAAAAAATAATTCAATTCTTATTAGGAATTTTAATAAAATTTTTGCAAATAATTGAATCCCAGAGAAGAATTTTGTTATTTATTAAAATAATTGAATTCTTTCGAAGAATTATTTATGTATATAATTTAATTCTTTCGAAGAATTTTACTGAAATCTAAAAGAATAATTGAATTATTTCAAAGAAATTTAATTAAAATTGTATTTAAAATAATCGATTCCTTTTGAACAATTTTATTAAAATATTTGAAAATCATTGAATTTCTCAGAAAAATTTTTTTATTTATGAAAATAATTGAATTTCCATGAAGAAAATTACTTTTAAAAATAATTAAATTCTTGTGATGAATATTGATATTTATAAAAATAATAGAATTTTGCAAAGAATTTAATTGAATTTCCACAAAGAAAGAATTTTATTACTTTTAAAAATAATTGAATTTTTGTAATGAATATTGTTATTTATGAAAATAATTGAATTTTTCAAAGAATTTTATTTCAATTTTTTGAAAATAATTGAATTTTTGGTAAAAAAAATTGTGCTATTTAAAAAGAAAATTGAATACTTGACGAGATATTCGTTAAACTTTTTAAAAATAATTGAATTTCTACAAAGAATTTTATTACTTTAAAAAAAAATTTAACTTTTGTATGATGAATATTGTTATTTATAAAAATAATTAAATTTTGCAAAGAATTTTATTTAAATTTTCGGAAA